AACCACAAACGCACGATCCAAAACTCGCATCCCCTCACTTTTCCCATCGTGTCTGTGCACGCAAACTAATTAAGCCGGCAATTAATGGCTGTATTTTTTGTTTTTTTCGTTTATTTTTCTCCAATTGCGTTGCGATGCCGAAATGGCCAAAAACGACGGAGTGAAAATGTATTTGCAACTTGAAGATGACCAAAAGCGGTTAACTGCAATGCCAGCTGGTTAAATACAAATAATATGTATAAGAAGAAATGGAGAGGTGGGTTGGGGTGGGTTTGGCAACCCTGGCAGTGCGTGCATGTTAATGGCAACCACGATGAAATATGATGGAAATGGAAGAAAACAAATTAATTGCGAAAAATGTACGAAAATTTTCACATTCAATGACCTTGACAATGGCTTTGGCCCAAGTCGCTTAACTTGTTTACTTTATTTCATTTTTTATTTAATTTTACGTGTGTGAATGTGTGAGTGTAGAAAACGTGACGAGTTACGTACTTTTGGAGAAAGGTCGTTGATCATGGCTAAAAGTTGCTGTTTTTTTTTTGTATTTTTTTTATAGCGGTTTCAAAGTCAACATCAACGCGCTGTTTTTGGCTTTTTAAGTATTTCTAGTTTCAATACCCCCTCCCCTATTCCTCTCTCTCTCTCTCTCTCTCACTATCTTAACGATCGATCCAACGTAACCTCAGTGGCGCAAGGTTAATAATACCAAAAACCCAAAGACATTGGCCCGGGGAAATTTCTTCGATTTTTTCCATCGCCTTGCCAAAAATATGATCAAACAAAAAACAGTCGAGCAACGAACTTGAGAGAAGCAAATAAGGCCAAATGCGAGAATTCAAAATGTTGGTTAAGAAACGCAAAGATTCTTGGGCTTACAAATTTTTGCTACCCAATATTCAAATATTGGCTGTGTATTAACATACATAAATATATGATGTAGATACAAATGTATCTTAAGAATAAGATCACAAACAAACTGTGAATCATTTGCAATAACTTTATAGGAACACTTCAATTTTTTTTTTTATCCACCACTGTCATCATTTTTCCAGCTTTTGTTGCCTGTTATGTGGCCCACAAACCAAGACACGTTTTATGGCCATTAAAGCTGGCTGATCAACGCTAAATACCAAATACATAATGAATACATTCGCTCGAGAAAGAAATGATGATGATCGCCGGGCGGGGAAGTAGAACTACTACATACTCCACACATAGTTGATGCCTCTCGACAATCCAATGCCGACTAACCATATTTGGAGCAATTTGAAGCCAATTTCCATCAGCTTGCAATCGCTCCATTCTTGGCTATATGATTTTAACCGTTAGCCGGGGCAATTTCCAAAGACTCGTCTACAAGATAAGATTGTGTCATTCGCTATCTCTCTCTCACTTTTTTTTTCGTTAAAGAAAACCAAGAAAGAGATGATGAAGAAAAAGAAGTATGTAGCTTGGGGAATGTGGAATTTCGCGATGACGTCGGCGAATTTTTTGGACACAGAACCATGAGTAGAACTTTTATAAACTTAAAATGCTGTTGACTGGAATTTTCTTTAACTTAGTGATAAAAAAGATAAGCTTTGGGGAATTTTTAGATAATAAAAATACAAAAACAAAAGAGTTTATACATACATACATATATCAATAAAATTATAAAATTAAAAGTTTCTTTACTAACCGATTTCGTAAGGTATTCTTCGATCCCACTTCTAGAACCTTTTCAGCTCCAATTTCGAAAATTTTCTTCGAACCAAATGCAATGCTTCATTTTTTGGAATATTTGCAATTTGCAGGCTCTCCTTTTTGATTTCAGTTTCTTAACCGAAAAGCAAAATAAAGCCAAAAACAGCAAGAAGGCAACACCAAATGTGGCAAAACGGAAGGGGCGGGGGCGCCAGCAAGAGGAAGAGGGATGGGTACATATATGGGAGAAATATGATGATAATGGAAAGACAGGGCGAGGTAGCGGGGTTGTGGCTGGGCGCGACGTCACCGACGTTGGAGCCACTCCTTTGACCATGTGTGCGTATGTATTCGTGTCGCATTGGGTGTCTGTGTATGCGTTTGTTGTTTTCTTTTTATGCTTCGCTCCCTGTAGCGCCATCTCGCTTACGCCTTTAGCATGTTTATCGCACCGCATGTTGCCGTTTCCTTTTATGCGTCACATTGGCTCGAAATAGGCAATTATTTAAACAAAGATTAGTCAACGAAAACGCGAAAATAAATAAGTCAACATATTGTTACTTATTGCCCATGTGTGTTGTGAACAGCCACAGGCCATAACAACAACAGCAACAACAATTGAACGGCGGCTTTCCCTCTTTCACTTTTTTTGTTTGCAAGCCAAGTGCGAGCGAGATGGCACGACCGGCAAATGCGAATAACGCTGAAAAAGCAAACGAATTCTGGCGAAAAATATCAATCCGACCGATAGGAATGCATTTGCAATAACAATTGCGATATTTGTATATTGTTTATGCCGCGACTCGGGCTCAAAAAAAAAAAGAAAAAAAAATAATACACATTTTGGGAGAGAACCGAATCGGGGGCTTATCATTAACAACAACAAGAAAAAGCGCACTGAGTCACAGCCTCTGGAAAAATGCCGCAAGTCGGAGAAGGAGAGAGAGCACAAGACAAGAGAGCAGCTCATACTGCATTTGTGTGTGTGTGTCGAGTTGTCTCTCTTCTCGTCTCTGTTGCGCAAACGCATAGCCTACACTGCGAAAAATCTAAGATGTATATTTTTAATATAAATACATAAAACTAACAAATGAATTTGAAAAGTCTATATTTACAAATTGAGATTATAATATATTATTAGCTCGATATTGTAGTTTGAATAAAGATTGATATAATAATAATATTGTTATTCTATGAAATCAAATTCCACATTTCTATGATTACCCTTACTTTTGACAACGAATTTTCATATCATAAATTATAGTTTTACTTACTTATTCCTGAGATTATTTTATTTTTATCCTATACTTCCCTAGGAAATATCATTAAAATTCGTATAATAAATTGTCATACGACTAAAACTTTCTTTCTGCGTACTCGTCTCTTGACTGGCAGCTGTTTTGCAGATATTGTTCAAAACCGGCTTTGGCTATAGTGCTATATTTTCCACGGTTTCCAAATACTCTTCCCGTAAATGTGCAACAGCTTAAAGAAGGGTGTTTTTCAAACAAAAATTAAATACAAGATTCGGTATTGTTAAATCTGAATTATCTTGTCTTGCAATTCTTAAGATAACTAATTGGAATCTTAAGGATGCATAACACGTACACATTTCCCATTGGAACCCATTCTAATAGTAATATTATAACAAAAAATAAACAACATAAACATTCTTATCTTGCGTCTTAATAGTAATGATATTATGGTTTTTGTATGTTTTGAGGAAATAGGACTAACCCAGCATATTAGTAATATAGTTAGTAATATTGTTTAGAAATAATATGACTAGTTGTGAAAAAATTCATACATCGTATTGTGACCATCAAATATTTCTTCATAACATAAAGATAACGAATATGGGTATCGAATATATGAGTAATAACGCCCCGAGAATCTGAATCACATGCCCATAGCCCAAAGGCGAAAAATGCGAACGAACTGATAGGACTCTTGAAACTACACTATACGACGAGATATAGACACACACACCCAGTTGCTCTCGAGCTAAGGAAATTCTCCGAAAACGAAAAACCGACCGAATCGTCGAACAATTCATACCCATATATGGTAAAAGTTTTGGACTCAAGCCGAGAGCGGAGAGCGCTGCCACTGATAAGGTTTTAGCGCTAAGCGGGCTTTATAAAACGGGCGGCGGGACCAGTTTTCATATCACTACCGTTTGAGTTCTTGTGCTGTGTGGATATTCCTCCTGACACAAAGCCGCTCCATCAGCCAGCAGTCGTCTAATCCAGAGACACCAAACCGAAAGACTAATTTATATTTATTTAATTAATTTTAATAAAACACACCAAATGTAAGTATTCCTCCCAAGTCTCCATCAAAGTACAACCCCACCATCAAAACAAATCGACAAAAGCCGCGGAAAATGTGTGTTTTTTTTATAAACAAATAATTTTTTTATGTGCTAGTGCAAAAAAGTGATCTGAAAAGAGCTATTATTAAGCTAAAGAGTTATTGTATTGACCAAAAACTCAAAAAAAAAAAAATACACAAGTTTGGCCTAAAATTGTAAACCAAAATTGCAACTCCAAAAGCATCATAAAAATTGCACGGTTTACTTGCTACAAGAACCAGAGTTTTAAATACTATAACTCAAAAATCAGGATATACAAAGATATAAAAGTCACTAAGCAGCTAAGATCCAACATGCAGGATATTTAACAACAATCAAAATTTTTAAAATAATGTAAAACTAGGATTTGAAGTGCTGAAACAGTTAAGATCATTGAGTTTTCTATAAGACCCCCGCTTTATAATGTGGGCGTGTCACGATTTCACCCAGAGATATGCCAAATATCGAATTTGCAATTCAATTCGCCAACACTTTCTTTTTTTCCCACGCCCAAAAGACCCCAGATCGTCTATCATATATGTTTATGCGATGATACCAATATAAAAACCCATATAACTAGATCAGGTTCTCGAAACTAGTGACGTAGGCAGCCGTTTCGGCTTAAGCTGAAATTTTTGCCGGTTTCCCAAAGTTGTAGTTGCAAAAATGGAGAAAACCTTCAGCTATATATGTATGTATATAGTCGCATATACAGATATAAATATATCTGTTTGCAGTGCGAGAGTGTGTGTGAGAGAGCGAAAGCCAGACGATTTGCTTTTCGCCTCGAAACATGACCATATATGGTCACAAAAGTTGGCCACCGCAACTCAACACACCAGCGCTCTCTGTCGCACACATGCGACTTAAGGCGAAGAGCGAGCGAGACGGATATTGGCGACGCTGACGCCGACGCAGGCAGCGATCGAAAAACGCAGTTAACTGGCATTCAACATTCACCATCGACTTCCAGTCAGTTCATTCCGTTCATTCCTCTCAAACCGTGCGGTCGCTCTCTCAGCTCAGCTCGCCAATTGAGTTTTCTCGCCTTAAATTTGTTTAATCGAACAAAAAAGGTAAATTTAACTTAAATAATTTCGCGGACTTTAATTGTCAAATTTTTGTTTAGTGCTTGAATACATTTTTTTTTTCATTTGAAATTTTTGTAAAAGTTTTATCAGCCGCCATTTTAAGGGCGCATACACACGCATTCATAAGCTTCGCTCTCTTTGGCGGTTCTCTTTTGCACCGGCATTCGTTAAGTGCCGTCTAGAAGTTTCTCCCCTCCTTTTTTGACCTTTTCATATTGCGGTTTTTTTTTTCGGGGTGGGGCTTTCCTTCATCTCTTTCTTTTTTATACAGTTTTAAAATAATTTTTTATAAATAAGAATAAAATTTAAAGTGATAATTTAAATAAAAAGAAATATTAGTTGGTGACAGTCATTTACAAATAGATGAAAAGGATTTTTATATTTAAAATTTAATTGTCATTTTCGAGTTCGGCAATTTGTGTATTTTTGTGAAATGTTTAGTGTAAACTGGTGTTTAGCAAAAAATTAAAAAGAAATCACATAAACTTCCAACGTTTTTCCAATTTCAAATAGGAAACACAACCCAAGATACTGAAAGCTAAAGATCCTCTCTTTCTCCCATTGCAGCTTACAAAATGTGTGACGAAGAAGTTGCTGCTCTGGTTGTCGACAACGGCTCTGGCATGTGCAAGGCCGGATTTGCCGGTGATGATGCGCCCCGTGCCGTCTTCCCCTCGATTGTGGGCCGTCCCCGTCATCAGGGCGTGATGGTCGGTATGGGCCAGAAGGACTCGTATGTGGGTGATGAGGCCCAGAGCAAGCGTGGTATCCTCACCCTGAAGTACCCCATTGAGCACGGTATTGTGACCAACTGGGATGATATGGAGAAGATCTGGCACCACACCTTCTACAACGAGCTGCGTGTGGCCCCTGAGGAGCACCCCGTGCTGCTGACCGAGGCCCCATTGAACCCCAAGGCCAACCGTGAGAAGATGACACAGATCATGTTCGAGACCTTCAACACACCCGCCATGTATGTGGCCATCCAGGCTGTGCTCTCGCTGTACGCCTCTGGTCGTACCACCGGTATTGTGCTGGATTCTGGTGATGGTGTCTCCCACACCGTCCCCATCTATGAGGGTTATGCCCTGCCCCATGCCATCCTGCGTCTGGATTTGGCCGGTCGCGATTTGACCGACTACCTGATGAAGATCCTGACTGAGCGCGGTTACTCGTTCACCACCACCGCTGAGCGTGAAATTGTCCGTGACATTAAGGAGAAGCTGTGCTATGTGGCTTTGGACTTCGAGCAGGAGATGGCCACCGCTGCCAGCAGCTCTTCGTTGGAGAAGTCTTACGAGCTTCCCGACGGACAGGTCATCACCATCGGCAACGAGCGTTTCCGTTGCCCAGAGGCCCTGTTCCAGCCCTCGTTCTTGGGAATGGAGGCTTGCGGCATCCATGAGACAACCTACAACTCGATCATGAAGTGCGATGTTGATATCCGTAAGGATTTGTACGCCAACACTGTGCTGTCCGGTGGTACCACCATGTACCCTGGCATCGCCGACCGTATGCAGAAGGAGATCACCGCCCTGGCTCCATCTACCATGAAGATCAAGATCATTGCCCCACCAGAGCGCAAGTACTCTGTCTGGATCGGTGGCTCCATCCTGGCTTCGCTGTCGACCTTCCAGCAGATGTGGATCTCCAAGCAGGAGTACGACGAGTCTGGCCCATCCATTGTGCACCGCAAGTGCTTCTAAGAAGGATCAGTTGGCTTGGCAGGATCAACAGGAGGAGGAGGAGAACGATAAGGATCAGGATCATTTCGATTCTGAATCTGGAGGAGAAGTCGAGGAAGCAGCAGCGAAAGTGCAAGTGCGAGTGGTGGAAGTTTGGAGTGCAGCACAACAAGATAAACAGCAAAAACACCAACAACTACAAGATGAAAAGAGCGGAACCACCTGCACACCATCATCATTATCATCATCGTTTTGGGAGCGTGTTGTGTGGTTCCAGCGTATTAATTTAATTAATTTATTCCACTTGAGATATGATATGATATACTATGTATTGTTTTTTTTTTTATTTGTAAACCTTTAATATAACAACAAACTACAAAAAAAACAAAAATGAAAATGAGCGAAAAAGCATATTCTGCCATTCCACATACCACACCACACACACACAAAACACCAACCAACACACGCACACCCACACTCAAACACACAATCGCGGCATGACAAGGACATCAAGATGAAGAAGAAGATATTCCCCAAAGCGTAAAAAGACACACACACACATTGCAAAACACAAACAACACACTAGCGTTTTGTACAATTCGTCAGCAACCTTATGTATTATTTTTTAATTATGATGTAATTATAAACAAAGTGAAACAAAAATATGAAAACAAAAAGGAAAATCAAAACTGTCTTCTCTTTCCCCTTCCTCGCTCTCTTTCTCTTGCTCTTTGCTGCTCTCCTCGCCTTCTCTGTCTCTTTCTGCCACTTATTTGCCGGCCGGCAAAATCACCCATACACATACATACACTTACACTTGGCTGCAGTTTCGCGTGCGATATTCACACACATTCAAGCATACAAGCATATGTATTTTTTTTTTAATTTGTACACTTTTCTAATTGCATGCGTATCGAATGATAAGTTTACGCCTGAAAATGTTAATTAAAATGTGAAAATGCAACTGAAAAAAAGAAATGAAACAACTACAAGCGAACTATTTGGTATATGTATTTGTCAAATGCCGTTGCAACGGCTTGGGAAAGGGAGAGGGCAAGAGGTCGTTGATCTGAAGCTGTGAAGTTGGCTCTCTCGCACGCAGGCACGCATGCTAATAATGCGATTAAAGTTCCGTTTTAAATACCAAGATCCAAATAAAACCAAAGATAATAAGGTAAACACGCTAACACAAATCGCTGGCATAGTTTTATTAGCCAGTTTGGCCAAAAGAAGTGGCTCCAATCGCCATTTATCCGGTTTTTCCCAGCCATTTTCCATTCATGGAGCAAAAGAAAAAGGGGCACCCATCTCTCTATATTTTTCTCACTGATACAAGTGCATGTGCACTGAAAATAATGGGAATAAGTAGAAGTAGAAGTAGGAAATTTATCGAATCTATTTAGATAATATAATTTTAGAGCATACGAAATAATTTTTTCCCGTGTAGCTATGGGCTCTGCTTGATTTGGCGCTCGGGTGCTACGGTAAAAGTTATCTTATTGTGCTTTCTCCTTTGATTCTTCGGGTTCAACGGTTCCGTTTTTGTTGATCTCGTTCTTCTTCTTGTCCTCTTTCTAGCTGTTCTCTTTTGTTTTTTTTTTTAGTTTCTGCAGCGGATTTCGTAGCACCTTGAGCGTTTAAATATAGTTAGTGTTTAATACTAATCAATGATATTCGAATCAGCAGTACCTTCTTTTTGGGATTGTATTATCTGGAAGTACGCAAATTTTAATATATTTTTTGTTCACTTAGAGGTATGTTAAGATATTATGATACAATTTTGAATTGATTTTTTTTTTATGAAAGATTAATAATGCTAATAATACACATTAAAAATATAATAGTATAAATAGAATCCATGGCCTACAACAATATTATCTAAAAAATTTGTAATCTTGGCTACCGAAAAAGTTCCGGAAATACTTAGCTACAGGGTATCGTGCCACGCGCTTACAAAGTAAGCCTAGCTGAATATTCAGCAATGTGATCCCTTTTAGCCAAAGGTCAACGGCGTGATTGGCCAAATTTGAATATCCCGCCATGAGTACGCCGTACTTCGCACAGAACCTCTTGGAACAGCGATACCTCCGGAGTGGCATATACGATCGTGGGTGCCAGAAAAAAAAAAAAACTAAATCACCATGACCATACCGGAAGCTTTTAAGGATCAGGAAATATTTGTTACAGGCGCTTCAGGTGGGTATCATACCGATTCAAGATCGTGGGTTATATTATCTATACACGTATTTAAAATTTGTAAATATATATTTTGTACAGGCTTCGTGGGCAAGGCCCTGATCGAGAAGCTATTGCGCTCCTGCCCAAATCTAGGTCGGATTTACGTGCTGATGCGGCCCAAGAAGGGCCACACCATTGAGGAGCGTCTGCAACAGCAGTGGGAGACGAGGCTATATGAACGCCTGCGAAGAGAACAGCCCAATGCCCGATCCAAGTTGGTAGCCATAGCTGGGGATGTGGAGCAGCTGGGTTTGGGTATTAGTAAAGACGATCTTCTACGGCTACGTAATGTCAACATTGTCTATCACTCGGCAGCCAGTGTGCGGTAGGCTAATCCATCAATTTATCTTATATTTATCTAATAATATTTCTTTAATTTTTAGTTTTGATGATGCCCTGAGAACGGCCATACTCTTGAATACACGCGGAACCCACGAACTGGTCAAGCTGGCCTTGGAATGGCGCCAGCTCAAGGCCTTTGTTCATGTATCCACCACGTACTCGAATCCAGGAGTTCTGGAAGTAGAGGAGCGAGTCTATCCTCCGCTAGCAGATTGGCGAACCACCATAAAATTGGCCGAGACCTATGACGAGGAGATCTTAAACATCTTCAATCTCAAGTGGGTTTATGGGTTTAGTAGAGTCAATGGATTATCATTATCATTAACTTTATTCCAGATACGGTAACTTCCAGCCGAATACGTATACATTTACCAAAAGCTTAGCCGAGCAGGTGGTTAATGATTATAGGGATAAGCTACCCATACTTATCTTCAGGCCATCTATTGGTAAGATTATTTACTATCTTTAATATAAAACTAGTGGTCTATATATGTACTTGTTACAGTGGTCTCTACTATTGAGGAACCTATGCCCGGCTGGGCGGATAACTTTAATGGCCCCACTGGTCTTTTGGTGGCCTGCGGCGTGGGAATTCTTCGCTCCCAAAATTGTGATCCGAATATTGTTGCCGATTTTGTTCCTGCTGATATTGTGGCTCGTACCCTAATCACCTCGGTCTACAAGTTCATGGGGGAATCCCAAACGAGGGCTAAGGATAGTGAATTGTATGTGGTTAACTGTGCCACGGCAAATATATCACCGATTACCATGGGCGAGGTGATCGAAATTGGAAAGACATTTATAAGAAAGAATCCTTTTGAGAAGACACTTTGGCTACCCGGCGGAGGAATGACCACCTGTCCGGTTCTTCACTTCGTACGGGTGAGTTTGTTTGGGGTCTATACTGGGTATCCCTGTTGATTGTAGAAGCTATGAGAGTTATGCATTGATCATTGATATATGGCATAGAATCTTTTACAGCACCAATTTAATCTTAATATATTTCCAGTTCTGCACTATGCATCTTTTGATGGCAGTCGTAGTGGACATTTTGCTCCGTCTCTACAATGAAAAGCCTTTGTAAGTTAGAACGGGAGGTTAAATATATATATATATGTGTATGTAATTTCCTTTAATTATTTTCCAGCCTTATGAAGCTGCAACGCCGGATTTTCGCCGCCTTCAGTGCCTTGCAAGTGTTTGCCATGACTGAGTGGCATTTTCAGAATAACAATTTCCGGGCATTGCACGATATAGTTCCGGCCGATGAAGTGTGAGTCTAGCAAAAATTAAAACAAAAAAAATTAAATTCTTAAACCAAATTAACTTTCCCATACCTTTTAGTTCGACCTTTGGCTTTATGCAGCATGCAAATATCAACTATACGGAGTTTTTCCAGCATGGAATTCGCGGAGCCAAGGAGTTCCTTTTAAAGGAAAGTCCGGAGAGTAGCAGGGCTGCCCGTTTCCGGGTTAAAATTTTCTATGTTCTGGACTTTTTGTGCCGGGGCATCGTCTACAGCTTCCTGCTGCGTCTGATATTCAGGTTTTTAGTTAGTCTTTGGTAGCAAAGTACCATTGTATAGTTCCATTGTAATTGCAAGATTTTGCTCGAGTTGAAGAAAATATATATATCGCATTGGCATTGGTTTAATTATGTTTTATTAACCAAATATAGTTGTGGTTAGTTACATTCACAGTTTTGAATTTCCCGCTTACTCTTTTGTCAGTCTGGCAACATTTCAAGCACGCCACCTGGCGGATCGAGTGGCATCTCAATGCAGTGGCAGCCCACGCAGGGTTGCACTGAAATTGGCAAAAAACAAAATGGAGGCGTATAATATTTTTGTTTGGCATAGAATATAAAAAATCCGTGTTCGTGTGTGCAAGGAACGCCGTAAACAAACGCCGTAAAAGCGGGCAAACAGAAATAACGCGAACGGAATAAGGCAAAGCGATCGGGAACCGCTGGAAGGAACCCGTATCTCGGCGTATCATTGGAAGGCAAAAAAAGAACCGGAGGAGTTCCATATTCGCGAATTTTTTTATTTGGTGGGGCGCTTCCAAGGCAGTAGGCTTCCCCCTTCCCGGGAACTACAGCTAATTGGATTGGACTGGAAAGAAGAAGAGCGCGGGGTAGTGGGATAGGAGGCGGACGTAAAGAGGACGCCGCGATGGCCACCACCCAGCAATATTCGCTGCGGTGGAACAACTACCTGCGCCACCTCACCTTCTCCCTGGACAACCACCGGCTGAACGATGACTTCGTGGACGTCAGCCTTTGTGTGGATGGCAGAAGGATCAAGGCCCACAAAGTGGTACTCTCCTCCTGCTCATCGTACTTCAAGGAGATCTTCAAAGAGAACCCCCATCCGCATCCAGTCATTATTTTTAAGTTCATCAAGTTCGAAGATCTCAACTCGATTATCGAGTTTATGTACCAGGTTGGTTGGCCCACTGTGTAGTCCTTTCAAGGGCAAGATTCCACCGATCGCAATGATATAAGCCAATGTTCAGGGAATCTTCATGGAATTCTTAAAGGGAGAACAAGAAATTTATCATAGAAGTTAAAACAACCTACCAAGTTCATATAAAACTCCTTGCATTACGGTTCTTCTATTAAGTTACTATCATTATGTACATAAAGTGAATTTCCCAGTTTCTTAGTGCTCCTATTTGTCTAGCTTAATTCCTATGTCTCAAACTTGAATCCACCAACTAATTTTCTATCATTTTTAGGGTGAAGTCAATGTGCAGCAGGAGGCTCTCCAGTCGTTCCTGCAGACCGCCGAGTTGCTGGCCGTCCAAGGACTCACCGCGGAGGAGAAGGAGAAGCCGCAGCTACCAGTGGCACCGCTGATTAGCGAACACAAGCTGATCAAGACCATACCAAGCACCATACGCGCGGTCAACGAGCAGCACCAGCAACAGCAGCAGCAGCAGGTGGCTAGTGTGGCCCAGGCGCAGTCTGCTACGCAAACCATCGATATACCCACGGCCACGTTGCTGCAGGCAACCACCGCCAATCAAGTGCAATCACAGGTAGTTGCAGCTGCAGCAGCAGCCGCACAGCAGCAGCTCCAAGTCCAGCAGCAGCAACAGCAGCATCACCATGTACAAACCACCCAGATCCAGCACATTCAAGTGCAATCTGCACCGCCCCCGCAACAACAGCCGCAGCAGCAGCAACAACAACAGCAGCAGTCCCAGCAGCAACAAACGACGCCGGTGCAGGCGCAACACTTGACCATAACCAATGCGGTTGCCCTGCCGGCGAGTAAAAAGCGAAAGATCACCTTCTCGGACGATGATGACAACATCTACACCACCGAAACCGTTGACTATGCCGTCAAGGATGAACAGACCATAGTGAAAAGTATGTCTTGAGGGAATTCTTGCTAAGAATGTATTTTTAAAAATCTACTTTGACTTTCCTCGTCCAGCTTCCGATATGACTTTCCTGCGCGGCGCCGTCAAGATGGATATACCCGATTACATTGTAGGTGAGGTGGATGATCGCCTGTCGGATGGTGCCACGCCGCAAACGTCTCAGGATGCAACCACTGCAGCGAACCAGAATGTGGCTCAATACTCCTCCGAGTACGAAATACTCACAGAGTCCGAAATGGAGGAGAAATACCAGGCGGATGCGGACAACGCCGAAATTGCCATTGAGATGAGTGAGTATCTAAGGTGGAAATCTTAGAAACGAGATTATAGTTACTGACATTATCACTTGATTTTAGCCCGATTGCTGGGGAATGCCAGCGGGGCGGCAGGTGCGAATTCCGGCCAAGTAATGGATGATGCGGGTGGCGGCGGTGCGACGAGTGGTCCCTCGACTACGGTGTCTGTGACGCCGGTCAAATCGGACAACAAGGCCAGTGGGACAAACGGTGAGTTTCGAAAGTCATAGATTTATGTTTAAGCAGAAAAGTAAGCATGTAAATAGAAAGATTTGAATTATAATTTAAGTTTTTGTAAAGGAATGTGTAATTTATGATTTCTAAAGATATACCTATTTGTATTTTCTAAGTTTATAGTTTAGTCAATTTAATTTCATTGTATTTTAAGTTATGCTAAAGTGGCTTCAAGTGGTTGTGGCTAAGCATTGGAATCAAACTGCTTTATAATTTTGTATACTGCCCTTTTGTAGTTAATTATGGATTCGTTTAATTGAATGTTTTATTTTATTTATCAATTAGTTGTTGTGGTTGTCGAATATGTCTCCAAAAAAAATAAAGAGAAATGGTGTGATCTACCAAAAAAAAAAAAATTGGATAGCAAAGCAAAAACAATCGATCGATCGATCCGGTGGTAGAGACTGTTATATTGATTGTACGTATTTTCTGTATATTTTTAGATTCGCCCAATAATAAGTGGACAGAATGTCAGTTTTGCAAAATGGTTATAACCACGGTTAATCTTTGGAGACATATTCGCACCCAACATACACCACAACCGCCCCGCAAATGCGATCTGTGCAATAAGAATTTCAAGAACAAATACAGTCTGCGTGAGCACATACGCATCTCCCATGAACAGAAGGTGGCCATCAAGACGGAGAACTGATGCGTGTTCATTAGCCTGGGCCGCCTGCGTGCTGCCGGATCGAGATTGGGATTTATCGATAAGGGAGAGAGATATAGTTAATTACGTCCAGCTTAGCGAGAAGCCAACCAACCAACCAACCAGCCAGTCAACCAACCAACAAACCTTCATTTCCCCATCAAAGCTCCCAATAAGAAAAACAAAAAAAAAAAAAACTAGCCAAAATTGTCAACTCAAATGCAAAGCAGAAATAAGTATGAACTTAGCGTATGTTTGGGCACTCAAATAGCCCTCGATGTTTAGCTCCCCATATATATATAGTTCGATTATATAAATCTACGGAATAGCTATTAAGTGCAATCAGTCAGTCGGAGAGTGGAGCTGGTAATCCCGTCGTTGACCAAGCCATGATGTCATGTGTCCTCGTAATACGTGCATGTACCACTTGTATTTAGTCCATTATTTGCTTTAGATATATTTTTTTTTATTATATTCATAGAAATGGCAAAGTACAAGCCCTACCCCGCCTTCGCCCTTCCAATCCATTTAACCAATCATTTTGTATATAAAACCATACACTTACGGTTATCTTTAGAGTTCAGATAGAGTGATACTATATAGGCGAGGAATTCACCTTTACTGTTCACTTTATTCAAGCTCTCTTTTAGTTTTGTATATAGAGCTAGGCGGCTTAACAAAGTACTTTTATGACCCCATTAGAAACCCAATCTAAAGATTTCTGTGGCAGCGCCAGAAGAAAGTCTTTTTAACCAATTGAATTCCCCGGAAAGTTCTTTGTACTTTGCTCACAAAAAAAAAAAAAAACACAAAAGAAAAAAGAAAAGCAAAAAGAAAGAAGGAAAACCCCTTGTGTACAAATTTAAAACAGGATACGAAAACCCAATTACCCAGCGCGCTTTTTTGACCATCTGTGTTCAGCATTAGAGAGCGTTGGCAAATTATTGTAAATTAGCTAAATTAGTTATAGTTTAGTTTAAGATACCTCACCACCCCCTCCCCCCTGTTTACACACACACACACACACATACAAAAAATGCAATCGACATAGTTTAGTTTTTTTTGGTATAAAACTTAGTTGGATTAGCCCACACGAGCCAAGTGAAAAACGGAAGTCATAGTGTCTACGCTAGGATTAGTTGAAAGTATTTTACAAAAAAAAAAAACAAAAAATAAAGATAAAGAAAATGAAAGGAAACCCTGTAGAAAACCCTCTCCAGGATAAACTCAAAACACACGCAAACACACGGATACATACTAAAGATAATCTAGTTAAATGAAAGAACTCATACGTATTACTTATCGATCCGCATATTGATCTATGTATACACCATATAGTTAATGTTATAAATCCATAATGCCGTAATGTTTGGACTGAATCCAGTTTTGATGTATCACTTCGACCATCGTAATCCTCTAGGAAGCTCACCCACCCGCAACTATTTTTCGCCCATTTTGAGATCCCTGAATGAGATCTCAGAAGTACATTTTATCAACGAAATAATGGGATTATGGTTGGTTTAGGTGATATTATTGACTGATCAGTTCGTTCATTGGGCGGATCACATTAGTTCTTACCTGGACTATAGCGATAATTATCGGAGATTCCAATGCCACCCAAAAAGAAAAAGGAAAACCTTAAGTCTAAGCAATGTGTACGTAGTTTGATTTATATACACATCAACGAAGTGGATCTAACTTAATCCAAGTTTATTAATTCGTTTTGCTAGAAACAGAAAAAAGAAAGAGACAGCTACAGAGAACGAGAAAGAGAGAGAGAGAGAGAAAGGGAGGAAAAAATAAAAGAATGCATGTAAACCATTCAAGTTTTAACTTATTTTCGGGGTTTTCTTTTCAAAAAAAAAGGGTTTTTGGTGAAGTTCTCTGACTAAAAACTATTCTTTCTTTTAGCTGCCAGTAAACGGGAACAAAAAACTAAACCTAACACTGTATCGGAAGCCCCAGAAGCCCCGCGACGTACTGCACCAGTGGCCCAGGGAAGTGATGACGAAAACGTTCAGGACCCTGGCCTGGCTCCATTGAGCTGCAGTTTTTGCAGCAGACATCTGAAGTCGGTGAATGCCTTGAGGCGACACATTGCCTGCCTACACTCGGAGATCCAGGGCAAGGAGTTCGAGTGCTTCATCTGCATGAAAAGCTTCAAAACCAAATGGTCCCTGTCCACCCACAATTCCCGTTTCCATCGCGAAATGGGCTGCTCGACCAAGGGATTCTCAAAGGTCGAGTACACCGATCAATAAATCTAGGTATGCCATTAATTAGACTTAGTAAAGAGGGGAGAGTATACGTACAACTAGATCGTATTATATATCATATATATATATATATATTTTCTTAATGTGGCATGCAAATTGAAATTTTTTCTAAAAGCTGGTTCTTAAATTAAAAATATTAACTCTTGGAAAGCAAATTTAAACAAACGTTACATCAAAATGTTATGGCTAGCAAAGAAAGCTTAGTTTTTAAGAAGGAAAACCCGTAGCTAGCAGATTTTATTTTCTATTTTTCCAATTTTTATCTTTTTCTTGCTGAAAAAAACAAAAGAAATAAAGTTTTTTGAAAGCCCTTCGCCAGATTTTTTTGTCAAAACAGAATCAATTTTTAAATTATTTTAAAAACACAAAATCATGTTAATTTCTTTTGCTAAATCCAGCCACTGGTCCTTGTACATACTCGAAATTCCATCCCAAATAAAACTGGATATTTATGATAAATGATTAAAATGCGTTTAATGACTTAACTCTACGATTTCCACTTGCATTGCGTGGAAAATCTACTTAAAACTTTCCATAAAAAAGGAGTAAAAAAAAGAGAATATAACGAGAGATGTTTTGACGAATGAATAGGGTCCAGACCTACAGGGTCTGCAAGCCGGGCAGCGGGAACTTCCTGCTGAACTGAGCCACGTTCTTGCGGATCTCCTCCACCTGAACCTTGATTTCCGCATTCTCGGCCAGCGTCTTATGGTAGTCAGCCAACTTGGGACTGCTGGTTAGTTTGGCTGCCTGGGCACCCACCTTAAGTGCTGCATCAATGAAGGCCACCACCTGTTCGATGTCCTTATCGGCGAGACCGCGAGTGGTCAAGGCAGGAGTACCCAAACGGATACCCGAGGGATTCATTGCAGACTTATCCCCAGGCACAGTGTTCTTGTTGCAGGCAATGCCCACCTCCTCGAGAATGTATTCCGCCTTGGCGCCGGTCAATCCCGCCTTGCGTACATCGACCAGGACCAAATGGACGTCAGTGCCCCCGGTGGCCACCTGATAACCCCTCGAAATGAGGCCATCACACAGGACCTTGGCGTTCTTGAGGACCTGCGTCTGGTAGGCCTTGAACTCCGGGGTCTTGGCCTGCCTGAAAGCCGTGGCAATTCCTCCAACGGCATTGTTGTGTGGACCACCCTGAAGGGATGGGAACACAGCCTGGTTGATGCGCTCCTCCAGATCATACAGGACCTTATCACCATTAGCCTTAGTGCTACGTACTCCCTTGCGGAAGAAGATCACACCGGCTCGAGGACCTCGAAGGGTTTTATGGGTGGTGGTGGTCACAATGTCGGCGTATTCAAATGGCGATGGAATCAATCCGGCGGCCACAATACCAGCAACATGAGCCATATCGGCCATCAAATAGGCACCCACATCATCGCAGATCTGACGGAATCGGGCATAGTCCAGCAGTCGGGAATAGCACGAGATGCCGGCAATGATGATCTGCGGCCGGAATGTCTTGGCTGCCTCGGCCAACTTATCGTAGTCAATGATTCCCGTCTCCGGGTTCACTTTGTACGGCATGCTCTCGAAGAAAATCGATGTGGCCGAGATTTTCTTGGTGGGCGTGAAGAAACCATGGGTTAAATGACCACCATCGGGCAGATCCAGACCCATGATCCGGTCATGGGGACGGCAGACGCCCGTGTAGACAGCCAGATTGGCCGGAGATCCGGAATAGGGCTGGACATTGACGCCCCACTTGTCCTCATCCAGGTTGAAGAGTTCGCGTCCTCGTTTCTGGGCAAGAAGCTCGATGCAGTCAATGAACTCGTTGCCACCGTAGTACCTGCCAGAGGAGACAACCAAGGATTAGATATGGGATCCTTATATAGTTTCCTTTTCACTCACCTCTTGCCGGGATATCCCTCGGAGTACTTGTTGGTCAGACAGGAGCTCAGACTCTCCAGCACCGCCACCGAGGTGAAGTTCTCACTGGCAATCATCTCGAGACCTTCCCGCTGGCGCTCCTTCTCCTTCTTAATCAGTTCGGCCAACTCTGGATCGCCCTCCTCCAGCGTGGTCTGCAGCATCTTCTGATCGGCCATGTTCTGTTTAGGATTGAGGAATATATATAGTATATATATTGTTGATCGACTGAATTGCAAGACGATGCGTTCGCTAGCACGATCGTTGGATTTGTGTGAGCTATGAAAAACCGATCCCTGCCAGGTCAGCTATTCACATCCATCAATAATGTTTTCATTTCGTTTTGAAACAACAAAAATATTTATTTATGTTCCATCGGGAATTGCGAAAAATCACAAATATTTATACACATATATTTATAGGTTCAATGGGTTCAGACAAATAGCATTGGAAAAGTTCTGTTGATAAGCAGCGGGCGGACGAAGCTATCGCCAAGCGGAGATTAGCCCAAGATACACCATGGCAACCACTTGAGAGGCTGGTCCCCTCTCTCTAATTCTCGATTAGATTGGCCAAATACGAAATTCTATAATATAACCAATAATAACCATAACTTTTGGTTCATCACTTTGCCAGGCTTAGAAAATACGACCCCCCATGGCTGGGAGGGAATCTATTTGCGTTCCGCCTATCGCTCTTCATGGCAATGTACCTTCTAGATTGACTTTCGTCTGGGTCACAAGTTCAAATCACTAGGTGATAAGGAGACCCCCCAACAAGCCCTCTCTCCTCAAATGACGCACATTGGAAAGATCGGGAACATAAAGTCGAAATATATACTTAGATCAGGAAAATACAGAGGTAAGTAGAAATTATAAATGGAAACACTTAAGGAATGCCAATTCCCAGACACGTTTAAGTTCTTTAGACAAAATTTTATTTAAAAAATAAAACTTATCACTTTTTGCTAGTTATAGTACTAATATAAATTAGCAATACAAATTTTCCACCCTTAAAAAGTTGAAAACTGGTCTCCGGCAGTTCTCAGTTATGTAAATTTCTATCATTTTTGACCACACAAAACCATCTTTTCTTAGCAACTAATAAACTTGGTTAACAAAACCGCAAAACACATAAGTTAAGATCATATTTTATATAACCTTCTATAAGTTTCTTAATAGAAATATTAATTTCCCAAAGTTTTCCAAGTTCTCTAGACCTAAAATCTTTATAGACCTTTTCACAATCTCAATAAGAGGCGGAAAGCCTCGCACTTTTTTTTCCACCATAAAAATGAAAATTGCTTACACAAAACATTTGCCTTTATGCGAAACTGGAAACTGGTATTTCCCCTTAAATTGATTGCTAATTTCTGGCCACGAAACATGTGTGAAATGCTAAATATTTGCCATTATCTTTATCTATATCTGCCCACATTTGTATATACATATGTAAGTAGAATTCCATTGGCAGAGGAAATTCGATTTACTGGCCATTGCCAGTTTATTTTTTTTTTTTGTTTTTTGTGTTTTCTGATATCAATATTATTCTATAAACAAGTGCCAAGTGAGACTAAAGAACAACACTTTTTGATAGGGCCAAAAAGCCAGGCAATTTGAGTAGGCCTAAACGAGTTTAAGGCTGAGGCTGAAACATTAATCAAAAAGATGTTCTCTTGGCAAAGTTGAGTATTAAATACCCTGTCTTAAGGTTGAATAAATGAATAAATATTTATGGAGTTATCAAGAGAAAAGGCATTTAACATAGGTAACAAGAGTTTGCGACTTTATAAATAATATACATATCTACGTATGAGTATGTATCCTGATCCTGAATAGGACCACTAACCCAGCTAATATTGCCATGTTCGTCTGTTTATCTTGAAGACCTTTTAAAATCCCTTGAAATAATCTTATTATTTTCCTTATAAATACCGATAATTATTTTCAAGGGATGCAAGATGCACCTTCCAAAAAAACCTTCCTCCCATAACTAAAACACTCCACGTAAGGGTAGCAAATTGAGAAGAAAACACATGGTTTATCAGACAAGAACGAAAAAACCAAAGCACATGGCAATAAACCGGGTAAACAAACTCCTATATATAACCGAATCACTCACTATATATTAACACTGATCACTTAGAGGAGTACTATATCCAGATAGTACCAGGTTAATTGCTCAATTGATTAGAAAATTAGGTCTTGGGTTTCTGGGGGAGGGCAGTAACTTACCTTTAAAGTGCTCTGCTTGCTGTCCGAATATCGTCTGATCGTCGGGAATAATGCCGATGTCTGGTTTTTGGCGGCGACGCAAGTTAAAGCTCCGCTCAGCTTTTGCGCGGCGAAGTTAACCCGGTTGGTGACTTTGGTGTTCAGGTCCCGACTAAAGCAAAACCGAAGCTTTTGTGGCAGTGTAGAGCGCGCCTGCTGCATGTCTATATAACTCTGTAAAACCGAAAGAAATTGTTTAAGATATTTTATATATTTTTTTTAGGATCTCTCCGCTTTTTTTGTAAAACTCACACGGCTGCGTTCGAATCTGAACTGCCGGAAAAAAAACATGCTTCGCCGTCGTCGAGAGATCAGGCGTACGTGATAAGCGTTAGCGATAACCCCTAACCTGTGACCGCGGTGATAAGGCCGTCGAAGAGCTCCACTGCTCGTTATCTCTTGGTCAGCATCCCAAATTCCAATTTATTAAATTGAAAAACACGCGTAACAATATAAACAAAGTTTAGTTAGTTATATCAGCTGTTAGAGTGGCCCAATCGCGGAAATGAGAAGCTTTCGAGGCAGTCTGGCAACGCAAACGAAATCAACTCTTTTTTAAAATGTTATTTAAAATATTTTTCCAAAACTGCACTTGTAGAGCAAATACCTTTACTAATAGTATTTAGAACTTAAAATTACCTATCTCAGAACTTTTTGGGGCTATTAACTGAAAGCTGCAAGTAATTTATTATTGATAATTTCAAAATTCGATATTAATTTAATTTTAAAATTTATAAGCTTAGTAACGGGTACCCTATAATCGACATTCATTCATAACAGATGGTCACAGAAAGATCTCCCTCTCTAGCAACAATTACCGATTCGCTCAGAGACTCAAGACGGTGCCGAAAAAACAAGCTCAGCAACATGTAGCGGAAACCGACAGCAAGCATGAATTTTTTTACAGTTTTATATTTTAATTTTTAACCTTTTAAGTTCGAAAATAATTAAAAATTGAAAGAAAAATAGCTTAGTAGATGTACTTTGGTTTTTCTTTAAGTTTATATTAGTTGAAAAGCAAAAAAATTTAAAACTCCCGCCAACTTGGCACTGCGAATCGGTTCAAATGTTGCCAGCCGATTGGGAGAGCGCAACATGTACTGCAACACTAAGCAAAAAAATAATAAACCAAAGTCTATTTAAGCAACACGAAAAGCTCAATCGTTTTCACTCGAAATTTCGTCGGCTTCGAGGTGTGTTGGCTTTGCTTTTCCGCCGCAAACTCCCCGGAAAATATAAACAAAAACAAGATATTCTAAAATATTCCAAAACCAAACATTCTAAAAACTGAATTATTTTTTGTGATTTTTTTTGCTCATTAAAAAGCAATTTGTATGACAATTTCGTGGTTAGTGTTAAATAATTAGAATATTCTAAGTGTTTACCGTTAATCGCCTGCAAGCCACCAAAAAAAAGCGCGCAATTTGATTTCTGGCGGAATTTGCTGATTATTTTTTGTTTTTTAAATAAATGTTACACAAAAAATGGAAACAAAAATGGGAAGCCAGAAAATAAATGAATGAATGAATTTTTTTTGCCAAAATCTGCTGCGTGTGCAATTCAATTCGAAATAACAAAACAAAAACCATAAAGAAGAGCAAAAAAAAAAAAAAAAAAAAAGAAAAGATACCGCGAAAAGTCATAAAGAAAAGGTGAGAAAACAAATTATTTATTTCATGTGCTAAAAAGACACGCAAAACGAACGTCGTTTTATTTTTAGCCAAACAAAAGTTGTGTGTTATTTGTGTGATTTTTTGTTTGTATTTTTTTTTATTCGCCGCTCTCCCCTTTTTTTAATAATATATTTTGTGCTTTTTTTTTTTTGCATGTTTTGTTTTGTGCGTGTTTTTTTGTTTAATAAAAAAAAAGGCGAACAAAATATTACGATAAAAATTCCGTTGTTCTCGTCGAAGGTTTCCGGGTTTGTTGACTTTGCCAGCTGAATGTTCGAAATTGACATAAATAATAATCATATGCAATTATTGTAAACAATTGTTTTTCGCCCAGGAAACGATTGCCATTTTTTCTTCACTTATTGTTGTTTTTTTTTTTTTTTGGTTTTATTTGTTCGCCAACTAATGGCCAAGATAAAAACAAAAGATATTAAAAATGCAAAAAAAAAACCCAGAGATCTGAAAAAAAATAAATAAATTTAATTCATAGGCCAGTAGTTAACATTTTTTGTTTTTTTTTTCTAAGCTTGATAATTAAGCTTTTTTTCTGCGGCCCATAGAAAAACAACGAATTTCCCCCGTTTAGTCTATTGTTGTTATTCCCCTACAGTAGCGTTCAAAATAATAGCAGATGATTAATATAAAAAAGTAGATTTACTATTAAGAACTATAGACTCGCTTCTAAGTCATACTATATTTTTAGGTTACTATTATTTTGACGATGGGTGTATAACTTTTGGGGCAATTTTTTGTACATGTTTTTTTGGTTTATCGGTTTGGGTTGTGTTTGTGTGGCTTTTAGTTTTTCTTCTTTCCTTGTTTTTTTTACCATATTTTTTATTGTGGTTTTTAGAGCTTATTTTTCTTAGTTTTTTGCCATACTATTTGCTTTTGTTTTTGCTTTTTGCTGAGAGAGGTATTTCCGCCTTTATGGCAAAAGCAATTTACAATTTACAATTTACTTTTCTCTCTCTCTTTTTTTTCTGCATTGCAATTCATTTTTACAACTTTAATTATATGAACAAAAAACTGAAAAACATGAACGGCAAAAATTAAAATTGCAAATCGCATTTGAGTGACGTCGCCGTCAACGTTTCTCTGGCCTTTTGTTTTTGTCGGCTGTTTTATTCGATTTTTTGTTTTCACAGCGGCATTCGCCTGCGCAAAAAAAAAAAAAAAAACAGCGAATGGAATGGGTGAGGGGAGGGAGGAGACCAGAAGACTAGGAGCATGATGATGCGGAGGGGCTGAGAGCAAGAGAGGAGCCAAATCTGCGTGTGCTTGTGTCAGGGGCGGATCCAGAAAATAAGGAGGTGCTCAGGTGCGGTTCAATCAAAAGATTTCTCTAAAAAAAGGCTTATAACAATATCATTACAATTTTGTATTACCTAATTATGTTTTACTTAAATACTAAACGCATATTTTTTTGTTTATATATTTAAAATCGCCTCTTAAAAATGTTTTTAGAACCGCTTCTGTATTCCGTTTGTTAGTATTTGTGTGCGTGAGTGCTGGTTCTCTCTCTCTCTTTGGTGCTCCTGCTCTCTGGCTCTCCACCGCTTCCATCCATCTTCCCCATCTATATCTGCCCCTCTCAGTTCCCCTCCCTTTCTTTCCTTCGCCCCACTCACACACATTTCAATTACATGTGAACGCGTGCTCCAAATTTCAAGTTCATTGTCCAAAAACAAAACAAAACAAAGCGATAACAAACAAAAACCAAAACAAGGGCAGGTCAGCATCCATTGGTGGTGACACGCCCCCTTAAAGTCTTCCGAGTGTTATAGATTTATGTACATATGTATATGTACATCAAATATATCCCCCTGATTCTTGCTACCTTAAGGTGTGTTATGATTATTTTAGAAGGTTTTTAACGTTATGTTAACATACATTTAATCCACTTCATATCATACATTTTTCAAATTCTCTTTAAAAATATTGGAAAAATATTTAAAAAAAAACCCCATTGACATTACAGGGTATTCCCGCGGTCTTGTCCCTAATAAATCTGACAAGTATAACAAAAATCACACTTATTTTCGTGTTATTCCGCAACCAAATAAAAATTCTTTAGAAAAACAAAAAAAACAGTAGAAAATAAAGCAAAAAAAAAAAACGACGGAAATTTTAACACGAAATATTGTTTTTCGTGTCTGATTATTTTGTTGTTTCCATTTTTTTTTGTCATACCAACTTTTAGTTAAGTTTACTCTGTATGTGTTGTTTTCCTCTTTTTTTTTTTTGAGCCAGTAGGTAAATAAATTTCGCTTCTTACGCAAATTGTTCAGTTGTTTATGTTTTGCGACCTATACAAAAAAAAAGTAACAAAAAAAAACAATCATAATTTGCAATGCGTAAATAATGTTTTTCAAATGTTCACAAAAAAAAAAACCCTTTTAATTTATTCAATGTATTTTTTATGAGAATGCAAACCATTTCCTTGAACTTTCCGCAGAGCTCTTTTTATTTCGTATTTGCCTTTCTGCTAAAAAGGGTTCAATATGTATGTATTTTTTGCAGCCTTTTCTTTTTCATTGAGCTGGGGGTTTTTTTTTTTCCATTCTCATTCTCTGATATCAGCTCATATTTATAATTAAAAGCAAACAAACAAAAAACTACTCTGCAGTCGGCAAATCACAAAAATGAAAACAAAAATTAACAACGCCACAAAAATATTATATATATATATGTATATGTATGTATGTTTTTATTTTGATGTATTTGTGGGTATACAAAAAAAAAAGAGACTAACAAACACGTTAGGCAAATTTCGCTGATAACTTCGAGAAGTGGTGAAAATACTGGGGCACCAAAGAAAAGAACAAAAAACAAAAAAAAAAAAAAGAAGAAATAATACGACAAAAAAAGAGCTGAAATCAAAGAGATAAAAACTATTTCCGTCGCATAAAGCCAAACAAAGCGAGACAATGGGAAATAATAAAGAAAAGCAGAGAAAAATATTTAATCGCCCTTCGAAAGTTGAGAATTCTTTTGGCTCCCAGTTTTTATTTTCCGTTTTTTTTTTTGTGCTTTTTTCTGTGTTTGGCCAAGGTTTTCAAATCAAATTATGTCGCGATCGAAAAAATCACAAAAAAGGCAACACAAACGCGGCCTCTATTTTTATGCAATTAACCGCCAGAAAAAAAAAAATACAAAAAAAAATAACATAAAAAAAAGATACATTTTCAAATAGGAAAGATAAAAACAAACAAAACACACGCACACTCCAAATGGGGAACAAAAGCTAACTCTACAAAAATCACCTAAAACCAAAAAAAAAAAAAATCTGGCTTATATATGTACGAATCGAAATTATGAATCACAAAACGTTTTTTGTGGTCTGTCTGTTTGTTTTTTCCCTGTTCGTTTTTTTTTTTTATTATTATTGCTATTGGTGTTTTTTTATATAGTTTTTTTTGGTTAATACATTTTAATTCAATTTTGTTTCTTTCGCTTTTTTGAATTCATCCGCTTCCGTGGCAATGTGGCACTTTATTTCTATTTAATTTGCAACAATATTTCAGCTTCAAATGTGTTACTGATTCAATTATATTTACTTTTCTATTAATTCCAATATATATATATATATATATTTGAACATTCATACTTTTTGCTTTATTTGATTTATTTTTGCCTATTTTTGCTTTTTTTTTTTTTGCTAGAAAACCTTGGCTGATAAGAGAGCTTTGCAAAAATGCATTGTGCAAACTTGATTTGGGTTTAAAGTGTTTTGCTGGAATGCAGTGAACTTAGAGTGGACCTCTTGTAAATCGAAAATGTTATTATTACTAAAATAAAAATTTCTGTCCAGGCCACACTGCGTATAAGTGATATTTATAAGTTCATACATAAAGAACAAATTAAGTTAGTTTTTAAACAAAGTAATCAATATTGTTGCTGCATTAATGAGTGAAAGATTATCAAGCAGATTATAAAGCTTACATCAGTATCAGTTTAGGTTTAGGTTTAGGTATATAAAGTTATTATATAAGTAAATACTTTTTACACTCTGAGTAATGGAAGTTTTTATCAAGTCCTGTGAACCGCAACAGGTTCAAAGTGTATCCTTTTGTACTTCTTTATCGAACCCCCAAGCCCCACCGCCCCCCCCTTTAGAACTTATGGAAATCTTTTCGTAAATTTCCACCCTTTTGTTTGCCAGCAGATTGGAATTCCATCTAACGAAACGAACTACAAATCATGCTCTAAAAAGGCACAAAAAAGGCAAAAGAATACAGCAACAACAACAAAAAAAGGCAACAAAAAAAGTGATGGAGACAAAGGCAAAATAGAAGTAAAAAATACACAAAAAAAAAACAACACCAGAAAAGTATATCCAGAGAAAGGCAAGGAAAATATTAAAACAAGGCAAACATCGCCGGGCAAAATAAAGTCAAGCATTTAATTTATTTACCCCCAAAAACCTTCCCACTTCTTCACTACGAGAAGAAATGGGAAAAAAAACGCTCGTTTTACTGTTGCTCGGTTTTTGCTTGTCCGCTTTTCCCCCACTTTTCCCCCATTTTCCTACTCAATTTTTTTTTGTTTTTGGCGCGCTTGGCAAAGGGAGGAAAAACTATAAGCTTAAAAAGGGGAAGGCAAGGGGAAGGCAGAAGAGATGGGGTGGGCAAAGAAAACTGTAACCGAATGAACGAACGAACTTTTCCAGCGTTGGGAAAGGTAAGAAAGGTGGTAAAAAAGAACAGAAGTAGTAAAAACCTTCATTTATATTTTGCACAGAACAAAATTGTAAGTGGCGTTCAAAAAGTCGAGGTCTATAGTTATTTCTATACCCTGAAGAAGAGGTTATTATATAATATGTTGAAATCTAAAACAAAAGATATTTTCTGTTTTACTTAGGAATTTGGTCTCACTGCGATTGCATTTTAGCATATTTGGTCACATTTTACATCCCACAGATTGTTTTTCAACCTTTTTAAGCATAATAGAAAGCGTATTTAAGTCGTGATTTTTGA